CTTAAAAGTTCTGATTCTCAAACAAACTACCTGGTTTTAAGAATTTTGTGAAATCAAGCATCACTTTTCTTGTTTTCATTGCTGTGCTACAGGGTCTTTCAAAAACAGTGACACTGTTTTATAGCCGTTAAACCCAATGTATATTTGAAACATGCACTTATTTTAAGGCTCAATATTAGACTTAAAGAATTAGAATTAATAAACTGGAGACTTTGTAATTCTATAAATTAAATAATGTTATATTTTGTGTAATGTTAACTCACTGTTACTGATGCTTTAACATGTAAACAATATTACAGCTGGTTTAGTTGGAGCCTAGTTTGACTGTTTTTGGTTGCCAACCAATAAGTAAATCACCAACTATTTTAATAATTAAATAATTGTCTTTTTGTACATTTCTAAGAAAAAAAATCCAGCTTCCTAAATTAGAATAAACTGAATATCTTTAGGTTGTGGACAAAACATGACATTTGTCCTCTTTAGAAAACACTGATCAACATTTCATCATTTTCTAACATTATATAGATCAAACACGTAATTAATTCATTGAGAAATATTCAGCAGACTTCAATTGAAGCCCAAATGACAGTTTTGTTTTTTTGACATTACAGCATATTAGATTTATATTACTTTATTTTTTTAAATAATTACTTATTGTATAAACTCCAGCTGTTAGCATGGTAGAAATTGCACTGAAATAAAAAAGTACAGCATCTGTCTCTGAAATCCAGTAAAGTAGAAGTATAAAGTAACACAAACTGGAAATACAACCTGCAACTTTCTCCTGTAAGTTTCAGCTAAAATGAATCTGGATGGAAACAAATGTGTTCATTGAAATACACTGTGACTCACCTTCTCGATCATGTCAGCACTCTTGCTAGTGTTTGCCTTAAAGTCTTCATTCACGTCTATGGTCAGGACCGGCACGTTGTTCAGATACTCAAACTCCATGCTGTGGGCAGAGGGGATGTGGCACAAGTAGTTAGTGATGTTTGACAATTTCAGGTCATTTAACTTTGTAAGGAAATGAATGAGAGAAACAGCCCATTTCCTGCTTCATCCATCCTTCAGAGAAATAAATGTGGCAGATGCAAATCACATGTATTAAACAGTTAAAGTTTAAGTTGCCTCCAGGTTGTTGCATGAATGGGGTCTTTCTTCTGATGCCCATCAACATTCAGAGAACTGTTACAGTGTGACGCTCTTCTCCTATAATACATGTGTTGTTCTCTCAAAAATGCAGCCAATTTGTGATGCAAAGGAGAGTCTGCGTGGGTGCACATGTGTTTGCTCACGTCATCGTCTTGTGCTGCAGCCAGCTCTCGTGTTTAAAGTGGAGCTTCTCCAGGTACTCCAGAGGGATGTCTTGCTCCTCCGCTCTGCCTCTCATGTGTAATCTCTCTAAACATCTCTACAAGTAGCAAAAAAAACCAGAAGGAAATTGTTGTTTTTTTAATAATAAAAATCTCTGTTTTACATAACAAAATCACCTCATTTAGATTAGTAAAGGTAGTTAGTTAGTAAGGAAAAGGAGCTGGGGGAAGTAGGGAGGGTACCTCCGGTGCAGCTCTGAGGTAGATGATGCCGTCCAGCTCGATGTGCTTGCCAAACTGGTTGTGCAGCCAGCCATGCCAGTCCTGGTAGACAGACCATTCAGTCTCGTTCAGGCATTCACTCTCGTACAGGTTGGCTGCAAAGATGTACCTAAGACAAGCAGAATACAAGAGAAGGATAGACGTGAGCTTTCAACAAGAAGGACTATGTTAGGACTCTGAACTCTTGAAGCTGTGTGTTCATATAACTGCTATATTCATGGGTGAGGAAAAACAAATGGCCTTCACAATGTATAAGAATTTACAGAGCTGCCTCCTCAATTTTTTTTAGTTTACAGCAATATAAAATGCAAAAACCTACACATTTGAAATGCATGTAGTGTTTGTGCCTTACACTGTTCCTTTTCTCTTCATGACATCCAGCTGCTAAATGAATTATTAATATATCTCTGACCTTGTCTCTGACATACCACACATTACTGGACAGGCGGTTTTAATGTTGTGGCTCATTTGATGATGTTATTTGGTTAAAGAGAGTTCAGAGATACAATGGCTGTGGGGAATTTTATTGTTTTCCCCATTTTCTCAAAGTCAGAAACTATGAGATGCCTTAAGACAGACCTTTTGAAATCTATTTTGTGTTGTCTGAAGCTATGTCAAGCAGCAATATTTGGCTATCATGTCTCAGTTGTTGAGTGTCTGTGAGATCAAATATCATAATCATGATCTTTTACACACTGGAATTAAATGAAACTAAGTGAATAAACTTGGGGGCTTCATTTCAAAGCTTTGTCTAATGGGAGAACCACAGTCTCAGAATGAAATCCCCTGAATTAGATCTTTATTGGAACTGTTAAAGGTTCAATTTTAACAAACTGTTTCAGCATTAAAGCAACAGCTTTCAAACACTGTTTTCACTGAGGAGTTAAAGTTCCACTACGTTTATTGATTTAACCCCTAAAAACTAATCTCTGTGACTATTGTGAATTTTGCCTTTTCTTTAATGGAAGGGTTTGAATACATCTGAGGACAACTGTACATATTTTTTTCCATGAAAAACAATCCCTTCCTACCCTAAAATAGTTAGATGTAACCATACACAATTATCCCTTTTAGAAGGTGTGGAGCTAGGAAGTCCTCTCCCTCTTCTCCATGCGTCACTCGCTGCAGCTCAAGCACACCAGCTCACCTACAACTCAGGTCAAACACTGTAAAGCTACTCTACACTACACAATGGCAAGGTGTCATATTGGAGGGATTCAGCCATACATGTTTGAACCCGAAAACAATTCTGGAGGAGAATGATGTCACAGGAGGCTCCAGCCTTCAGATTTCTGACTATGCTTACTTTGAAGGAACTAACAAGTTTAAAGTATGCGTATCATGAATTTCCTCCTATTTAATTAAATTTAAACATTTTCCAGTTTGGTCGCTGATACCTGTCGCTGTAGATGGACCGCTCGAAGAACTGCACGGGGTTCTCTGCCTCTCGGAGCTTCCCGGTGGCCGATCGGATCTGGGCCCGTACCCGGCTGATGCAGGCGTAGCTCTGGAAGGTGTAGGCCCACCGCTCGGGCTTCTCATACATCATCTGCAGGACGTTCCCTCCACTCCGCTGAGATGTGGTCAGCTCCTAGGACACCCAGGTCAAAGCCTGTGTTAGATTTCTCACCTCACCCTGAGACATGAACAAATCTAACAAACTACACACCTCAGTGTCAACGTGGT